TACCAAAAACACAATCCATAAAAGAAAAATTTGATAAACTGCACTTCATCAAAATTTAAAACTTCCTTTCTTGAAAAAACATTAAGAGAAAGAGAAGACAAGCCACAGGATAAGAAGAAATGTCTTCAGCTCATATATCTGATAAAAAACTTGTATCCAAAATAAAGAATTCTCAAAGCCCAATTAGTAAAAAGGGGGGCAGAGAGTGGGAAGGGGAACAAATTCTTTGAGCATTTAATGGAAGAAGATACATAAGCACATGAAAAGACATTCAATACCATTAGTCATTAGGTAAGTACAAATTAAAACCATAATGAGATACCACTATCCAACTATTGGAAAAGCTAATATTAACAAGATTGATCACACGAAGTGTTGCCAAGGACGTGGAGGAACTGCAATTCTCATACACTGCTCATGGGAATGTAAAATTGTACAACCACTTTGGAATACTGTTTGGCAGTTTCTTGAGAAGTTAAACAAGCACCTACTATATGACCCAGCCATTTCAGTCTTTACTCAAGAAAAATGAAAACACATGTCTGTATCTAAACGTTTATAGTAACTTTATTTGTAACACCCAAAAGCTAAAAATAACTGAATGTTCATCAATGTTCATCAGGTGAATGTTGAAGTAAATGTTGATATATACATATGATAAAATGTTACTCAGTTATAAAAAGGAATAAACTATCAATACACATAACAACATGGATGAATTTCCAGTTGTTCCACTAATCCCATTCATTAGGCTGAGTGAAAGAAGCCAGATGAAAAAAGAATAACTACGGAATGATTCCATCTACATTAAGTTCTAGAAAATACAAATTGATCTACAGTACCAGAAAGCAAATTATCTATGGCTGCTTGAGGACAGGAGCAGGGGTCTTGAGGAAATTGTGGGAAGAGCCAACAGGGAGGAACCATAGAGGCAGAAGGGGCTGGGTTTGGTGGCTCAGCCTGTAATCCTAGCACTTTGGGAGGCAGAGGCAAGCGGATTGCCTGAGCCTGTGGGTTTGAGACCAACCCGGGCAACTTGGCAAGACCTCGACTCTACAATAAATCAAAAACTAGCTGGACGTGGTAGCGCGTGCCTGTAGTCCCAGCTACTAGGAAGGCTGAGGTGGAAGGATGGCCAGGGCCCAGCAGGTCGAGGCTATGGTGGCTGGGAGTATGCCACTGCACTCCAGTCTGGGCAACAGAGTGAGATTCCAACTCAGAAAAAAAAAGAAGCAGGATAAATTTTGCTATCTTGGTTGTGATGTTGATTTAACAGATGTATAAATATAAGCATGTACACTTTAAATATGTGCAGTTGTGTCAATCCCACTTCATTAAAGCAGGTAGTTTTAAGAAATAGGTTCATGTCCTTGCGATCAGAATTTATCTTTCATCAGTGTACATGTTTAGATGTTCTTAAACACTAAACTGAACACACAATCTATGCAGGAACCTGGGTAGTGTAACAGAAGGCAAGTTATCTACTTTTGTTGGGACACTTCCCATATAGATAAATTGCTTCCAAAAAAAATTCCACTAGTTTTACTTTTCTTAAAAGAATGTTTTCCCCTGGAAAAAACATCACAGCATAAGCAAAAGCACTCATGCATCTTTTATTCCTTTCAGGAATATCTCATCATGGCAAAGGAGTGGATACTGAAACCATTCTTTAAAAGCCAAGATGCCCTGAATGAGAGGAAATCAATGTGAGACTGTCTTATTAAATGATTTGTCAATGGTTAAATATGAATGGTTTTTGAGTCAACAAAGTTTGAGTTCTCTCTGGCTTAACTAGAAAATAATGGGCCTACATTCTGGGGCAAGGGAAGATTTTCATTTTCACCTTTCAAAACAAAGGCCGAAAAACAATGTAAATGCAAGTGATGACTCATATAAAGCTATTTTTAAGTTTCTTGTTTCCCAGTCATGACTGAATAAAATCTATAATAGAGGAGTCAAATTTTAAGTGTTTTATACTCTATGCCTATGTCAACAAGTTGAAAATAATCTATCTCCTTTATTTCATTCATATGATAAATTTCAAATTTAGCCAGATGCAGTGGCTCAAACCTGTAATCCCAGCACTTTGGAAGGCTGAGGTGAGAGGATTGCCTGAGCACATGGGTTCGAGACCAGCTTGGGTAACATGGTGAGACCTCGTCTCTACAATAAATAAAAAAATTAGCCAGGCATGGTGGTGCATGCCTGTAGTTCTGGCTACTTGGAAGGCTGAGGCAAAAAGATTGCCTGAGCCCAGCAGGCTGAGACTGCAGTTGCCATGAGCATGCCACTGCACTCCAGCCTGGGTGATGGAGTGAGACTCCAACTCCCCAAAAAATAAAAAAATCTGCAATTTGCTGAAATAGCTTAAACTCTTTAAATTTGATTTTTTTTTGAGTTGGAGTCTCACTCCATCACCCTGGCTGGAGTACAGTGGCATGCTTACAGTCACCCCAGAATCTATCTGCTGGGCTCTGGTGATCCTTCTGCCTCAACCTTCCAAGTAGCCAGAACTATAGGCATGCACTATCACACCCAGCTAATTTTATTTATTGTAGAGACAAAGTCTTACCATGTTTCCCAGGCTGGTCTTGAACCTGTGGGCCCAGGCAATCCTCTTGCCTCAGCCTCCCAAAGTGCTGGGATTACAGGTTTGAACCACCACGGCTGGCCTCAGCAAATTTTTAAGGAATGTAAGACAATTTTAAGGACAAAGGTGCTGGAACATTGAAGTAAAGGTTATGAAACCTCATGGTGGGTGATGCAAGCTACACAGCAAAATGGCATAGACATTAGAAATATAGAGGTATAGGCAGGCGCGGTGACTCAAGGCTGTAATCCCAGCACTTTGGGAGGCCAAGGTGAGAGGATTGCCTGAGCCTGCAGGCTCAAGACCAGCCTGGGCAACATGGTGAGACCTCACCTCTACAATAAATTAAAAAAAAATTAGCTGGGCATAGGGTAGTGCATGTCTTTAGTTCCAGTTACTTGGAAGGCTGAGGCAGAAATGCCTGAGCCCAGCAGGTCAAGGCTACAGAGGTCGTAAGCGTGCCACTGCACTCCAGCCTGGGCGACAGAGTGAGACTCCAACTCAAAAAAAAAAAAAAACGGAGGAAAGAAATATAGAGGTAGAGTGAAGGGGATATTGAGCACAGCAAACAGTCTCAAAGTTGCTTACATAGTGAGAGCTACAAAACAGGGATGGGGTTTGAAACGAGTAGACAAGCCTTGGCAAGGCTCAGTAGTAAAGGTGACTGGATTCTTTTTTTTTTTTTTTTTTTTTTTTTTTTTTAGCAAGTCAGTTTATTAGAAGACAGTGAGGGGACCCAACAGTGGGTTGCTCATGACCGGATTCTTGAACAGGAGAGCAAGCAGCAGAGAGGGCCCAGCAAGGCTCATATTACTGTTTCCTAAAAATCATTCCGGGCATAGTTTTCTCCAGCAACACTGAGAAGTCCCAGAATTAGAGGCAAAAAAGTGCCTGGATGGAGAAAAGAGTTTTGAGAAGGAAAGGCAGAGTGACAAGAGATTGAGCAAACTGGATACATCTGAAGTGGATTACTCCAAAGATGGGCTTTTGCTAATGAAAAGAAAGTTGCCAGGTATGGTGGTTCATGCCTATAACCTCAGCACTTTGGGAGGCCGAGGTGGGAGGACTGCTTGAGCCCAGGAGTTCGAGATCAGCCTGGGCAACATAGCAAGATCTCATCGCCACCAAAAAAAAAAAAAAAGGAAAAGAAAAAACAAAAGTCAATTTTTGCAACAACAACAAAACTCCCCCCCCCAAAAAAAAACTACAATCTTCTCTCCCTAACAAAAAGCTTTCTTTCATTTTCGTGTGTGCTCTTCTGCTTTTTGTTTGTAACAGAGAAAGCCAAACTTACTTGTAAGTTTCAGGTACTGTGTTGATGCTTTTGTATATTGCCCCAGTGGATTTCTCTAAAGGGTTTTAACAACTCATATTGTACCAGTTTTTCCTCAGCACCAGTGTCTGTTAATTTAATAGCTTACTTTTACTTGTATTTAGTCTAGTAGATTGCTAACAAGTACCAATACTTTTCTCACTTGCCAATTCTAGTTCCTTTTGTTTGAAATGTTATGTCTTTGACAAGGTAAACCTCCATTAACAAGTATGGAAAATTGATGCAATGATTCTGCATCCCTCTCTTCTATTCATTCGACTTCAAGATTAGAGGGTCTTCATGTTCTCTTCTTTTTCTGCCCCTACACCCCTCATCAGCCTACTGCCATGCTCCCTCACCCCACTCCACGTTTTAGCTCACACTCCACTGTTGATTTTCTTTGTAGGGCTATGAACCAAGGGTCAGGACTACTTGTCAAAGCTGAGACCCTGTACTTCCTCTGCTTTTAACTTCTGTATGAGTCTAAAACAGTCTTTCTTCTGCCCCTCCCCCATTCCCCAGCACCCATCTTGGATTCCTTCTTTCCCAGCTCCTTCTCCGACTGCGGCCCCCCAAAACACACCACCAAAGAAATAGGGCTGTGTTTGCTTTGCTATCATCCATCGTATCAATTAAATAATGGGTTTCTAATTGGTCTCCCTTTTGGGTTTACGAGTTTCTGGTTTAATTCCAATTATTAACTGAGTGTCCACTGTGTGCCAAGAATTATGCAAGATGAGGTATATGTCTTTCTATCTCAGGGGATATATGAAAACTGAAGGTACACATTAATGCATGAGACTGGGAGGTATAGCAAGAACTAGTCAAATTCAAAATTCCATATACAATGTTGACAGTTTCAATTAGGCCCCTGATTTTCCCAGTCCCAAAGAGGTGCTGACAACAGTGGACCCCTCCAGGATCTTTGTTAAGTACACATGTTCTGGTGAGGGTGAAAACGAGTGTGAGACAGCAGAAGGACATACTCAATGATTTCTAAATAGTGTGCACAGGCTCAAGGTTGGAGGGAGCCCAGAGGTAACCTCTTCACTCTTAAGATCATGTTTTGGGAGACCCACTCCCTCACACAGGAATATTTCACTCTGTTCTTCCATGCCTTTATTGGTGACAGCAATGGACAAGAACAATACCAGGCATAGCAGACACCCTAGCCCAGTACCTGAGGAGCCAGGCAGACCCTGCAAGGTCATTGGCACATCCAGCTCAAGCCCAAGATTCAGTCTACCCAGGCCATGTTCCCGAATGGGCTGGAGGCCGTCTGTCCAGTTTGTATGAGTGGATTAGTCTGTCTGAGTGTCTGGGCCGCTGCCTGCAGGGCCCCCCCATCCTCGGCACATGGTAGGGGCCATTGGGAACACAGCGTGGCATCCCCCGGTGGACCACTGGGCCCCGGTGCTGACCATGGGGATTAGGGCCAGGGACTGGAGGTGGCAGAGGGCCAGGCACAAAGTTCACTCCAGGGCCACATCCTACAAAAAAATCAGTCATTATCAGAGTGGGCTTTTGGCCAGGGTGAGTGCAGCTCTGCCTTTAGGCAGCTCTCGTCCTCTGGGTAAGCTTCTTTGGGCTTTAGCTTTTCCATCTGCAAAATGGGATACCACTTCCTCTACCTTCAGGCTGGGAAATTTTGACAATCCATGAACTAATGCTGTTCCAGACTCAGGGATTGTTGTGACCAAACCCAATCCTGGGGCACAAGTGGCTACCCAAATCCTCTGAGCTAAGCTGGGCACGGGAGGCTGGGCTGGGGAGGTACAAGGGGAGGCTGGGAGAAGTGTGAGGGGAGGCTGCAGAGGCACCTACCTAAGTGGGGTGGCATCGAGAAGTCTTCCACTGGATTATGATTGAAGAATTCATGGGGTGGGAGGGGCTGGCCTGGGTAAAAAGGGGCATCCTGGGGCAGGGATGGGAAGAGGGGAGGTGGCGAGGGCTGAGGAAGAGGGTAGGGAAAAGGCATCGGAGGAGGCAAGGGAGAGGGTGGGGGCAAGGCCAGCTGCTCCCCGAAGTCAGGGGGCTGCCTATGGCTTCCCTGGAATGGATGATGCGTCTCTGGCCAGTCCTCAATCCATGGGTCTAGGAATGGGATGTTTGTTTTAGGCAGGCGTGGGAGCCAGGCTGCCCAAAACTATGGCCATCCACACTTCCACAGTTCTACTCCCTTCTCTTAGAGAATAGGGCTACCAGGGCGGAGCACCCTGTGCCTTCTGCGTGGTTCTCCTTCCTCCCTCTCATTCCAGCCCAAGTCCAAGGTATGCTCCTCTTCTCTTGCCTCTCAGATCTTCTTTTGCTCTGACTTCACACTCTCCTCCACAGCCTTCTCCCTCTGCTTTGAGCTTTTTCCTCTCCTATCTCCTCCCCACAGACCAATAAAAATCCTGTCACTCCCTTTCTCAACTTGTCCCTTTTCCTTCCAAACTTCCACAAGAATGTTTTACCCAATTTCCATTCCCTCATCAACTGCTTATTGCCTCTATTAACCCTACCCCATGCCCTCAACACTTTTCCTACTAAACGTAACCACTTACTAACAAATTTCACAAATCCTTTTCTTGCTGACAGTCCCATGATGTCTCCAATAGCCTCAGTCCTCCCTGAAAGCGCCTCTGTCCTCATCTCCACTTGCTTCCACCACAGCCCCCTTTCATGCCAATCCAAAGCATGAACATCATTCTGATCTCTCCACAGTTCCCACTCATGCCCTCAGCTTCCACCTCCCTGCTGGGTACCACTGACTACAAAACTACTCTTATCTTTCCACAGTACCCCAAAGAGATCCTCCCTAACCAAACTCACCAATTCATACTCCGACCTCAAATCAACTCTTCCTTTTAACATCCCTAACTTCTGTAACTCCAAACTGGATTCACCAGGCCCAAGTCACCAGAAACTAGCCTTCCAAGCAACCTTTCATTTGCTGGGGATCAATTCTTTCATCTAAACAAGAAAACTGGATCAATATATAATCAATGCCCTAATTCACCTTCCTGATACTCCAACTCTTGGCTACCAAGACCTAAGAAGTCTGCCTCTGTGATATTCCTGGCTTCCCTCTGTCCTTTACAGCCTCTAGTACTGCAACAAACAGCCTCCTAGCCTGACTCATGTCTCCCATTCAACAAACACTATTCTGTCAGTACCACATACAGAGCAATTATGCTAGACACTGGAGCTGAAAGGGGTGAGTCGTCAACAAGGACAGCAGGAAACTTGCCCTTTGGGGACTTGATGCAAGGGAGAAGCAGCCAAGAGACAACAAGTCATGTTGTCCCCTTTGTGAGCACTGAGGAACTGGGAAGCTGACAAGAAAATAGATGTTCTGCAGCAGAGGGTTACAGGTGTGATGGGGAGCAGTGCCTCAAAACAAGCAGGAGGGGTGGGGTCCCGAGAAGCCCCTACCAATGACCCAGAGATGGGGCCAGAGCAGAACTGCACTAAGCAGCAACCAGTCACACTGGAACCCTGGGGCTGAACTTCTTAAGAAGCCTATGGAATGTTGTCCATTGAGTCCATACCCATAAAGCTGACCTTCCTGATGCTACATCTCTGCTCAACAATCTTCCAGCTGACTGCGCACCCTCAATCCCTAGCCGATGAGTTTCCTTGCTTCTGCCACACTGCCTTGATGCCCCTTCCCTCATATCTGTCTTTCCATCCACTACACTTAAGCCTAGCTAGAAGTACCCCTATTTCTTTCCTGTTCATCTGTTGGGTAGAGATCTTTTGACATGCTCCCTTATGGGATCAATGCTTGTATAAGCTCCCTCATATGCACAGAGGTGACTATATGACTAGACTATAAAACTGGAATTCTGATTAGATTATTGTTCCTGTGATTTAATCTCCCCAGGGGACATGGAAGGAGCACTCAGGAGCCACAAAAGTCCTTCAGAGAACTCCTACTCCCCTTGAGTACCTCAGTCCTGTTCAGTTTCTGAACTCTGTACACTGAGGGCCCATCACTACCCTCCCCCTTTGTGGTAGGGCTCACCAGGGAGATAGTCACGCTTGGGCAGCTCCACACCCCAGGCATCAGCCACATGCGTCAGAAGCAGATGTGAGAGGTGGCGGTGTGCGTGTTGGTCCCAGTGGATACCATCCCGATGACGGTGCTGTACTGCATGCCGGAAATGAAAGTGAAGGTCCAGTACATCGAAGCAGTGGTCTCCAGCCAGTATAGCACTGTAGAAGTTCCCTTCAACCACATCTCGCCGCAGAGAGCCTGCCAGGGGCTGGAGCTAAGTGAGAAAGTGCAACCTCTAAGAATCACAGAATGAAGTAGGGTTGGGAAGAAGGGTCCCTTATCTACCAGCTGGCTGCCCTATCTCTTGTTTTGAGGGGCTTTGGTCACTTGCCTCTGGCAGCAGAAAACCCCCAGTGACACGTTCCCCCAGGGGCATTGCCATGTTCCACACCAGCAGGCAGGAGTCTGGCAACACCTGGTCCAAGCGCACAAACACCCGCTCAAGATTCTCTCGGTAGCTCTCCATTGAGCAGCGGCCATACCTGTTGGGTAACACATAGGGTGGGCAAGAGCACAGGGGTGGACTGCCTTTGAGCCATACTTCCACTACCAACCACTATTTCCCTTTCCCCTGCCCCAACCTGGAAAGATCCCAGAGGCAGGAGTTGATGATCACCAGGTCTGGGGCAGGCCCATATGTCAGCTCCTCCAGGACATCTTCGAGATACTCGGAGTAAACGCGGGTGAGGAAGTAGAAGCGCACAAGGTGGTGGCCAGAACCCGAGCAGAACTGGCGGACCTCGCGGTACTGCGTCCCGTTGTGCAGTTCGCCCAGCTGGCCCCCAGCCACTAGCTGGTCCTGTTCAAAGCTCAGTTCCCCCTGCCCGCCCCCCACACACCCCACTGGTCAGACCCACGCCAGGGAGGAGAACCCTGCCAGGCTGGGGTCTGTGCTTGCCCACCACTGCCATGGCCGCCAAGCTTCCCTCACCTTGGCCTTCAGCTGGGCAGCTGTGAGCAGTGCGTCTTTCTGGAGCAGGAGCACCAGGTCCTTGTACACAGCCCGCTGGACTGTGGGGAGACAGAGAACCCAAGGCTAAGGTCAACCTCACCTCAGCTCAGCTTTTCCCAAGTCCTGGTCTCCCATCTTCCCAGGGTTGGGCTGCCCAACACCAGATCCTAGAGTGTTGACTTACAGGCCAAAAGAAAAGGTGACCTTAAAAAGTCCTGTCATTGCTTCTGTACAGTGACCCAAGATCACTTGGCAGAAGTTAAGTCGGCCAAATCACCCAGGAGACACACAACACAATCCACCTTTCTCACGAGGGAAATTATGGGGAACTGTCAGGGAGAGAAATGCTGAGCAAAGATGGGCTAAACAGCCACAGGTTACAACAGTCAGGACACCTATGGAAGATGTTTGGGGAAATAAAACGAAGAGAAAATCTACTGGGGTAGAACAGATTAAGGGTCAGCGAAGAGACTTGAGATGGAGAATAAGGGTCCAGGCTCTAATGGAGAACAGGCCACAAAGTACAGGACTAGGAAGCATCATACTAGAGGGAGCACTCACTGGAGTCCCCCAAGATGACCACGAACTTGTTGTGTAATAGCTGCTGGACTTCCGAGGCCTGGAAGTGGACCATGGCGCTTTGCAGCCGGCGGCGCGGCTCCTCGTTCTCCAGACAGAAGACCATGCCGACACTGACAACGACAGGCTGCAAGGAGAAGCCACTAAGCTGTGCAAGGGCGGGGACTCAGGGCAGGTCAGCCCCAGGGCCGGCCCCTCCCCGGCTGCTCAGAGGCCCAGGGAGAAGATGACGGCAGGAGAGGGGGACGCCCAGGATGGCGTGCCTTAGTCGCACTTGGCACCGGAGGCAGAGGGTCGCCGGGCCAGCAGGCCTCCGGCGCACTGAGGCGCTTCCCGCGCGGCGCCGCCCTGCGCCCCGCCACGTGCCCACAACAGCCCCGCGCATGCGCGCGCCCGCTCGCGCCAATTACCGAGTCCCCGGGCTCCGCGCTGTTCACTCGCTACGGGCCGGCCCGCGTACTGCGTGCCTTGCCCGGAGCGAGCTCCTAGCCAAGCCTCATGTTCCTGCGCTCCGGGAGGCCAGTCGGTTCTGCAAAGCCCTCGCCCCGCAGAGCCCGTGCGCCTCAGTTAGCTGTCGGTGCGCAATCCAGTGCCCAGCGTTCTCCATGCGTGCGTCGCGGTGGCCCCGACGGCGCCTCAGGCCTCAGCGCCCCGGGCTACGACGCTCACAGTTTCCACTTCCGGTCGTCCATGTCCCGCCCTGAGGGACCCTCAATGCCCCAGGGGACACGAAGGCGACGGATGTGGCCGCCACGGAGGAAAGGAGCCAAAGTCAGGCCCACCTGGGGGGCGCAAAGCCCACGTATGGGCGGAAGGGACGGTGGCGGCCAAATTCGGCTGCCCACAGTGGTGATGGCTGCGGCGGCGGCCTCGCCACGTGACCCAGACGGGCGGAAGCGGAAGTGCCGGCCTGTAGCCCGTTTTAAGTGGGTGTCCCCTCTCCGCTGCCCAGCCGCCTCCTGCATCAGCCATGGATTGTTACACGGCGAACTGGAACCCGCTCGGGGACTCTGCCTTTTACCGGTGAGCCGCCCCGCCCTGCCACCCACGGCCCGGCTTACCCGGCTCGCTCGCCGCTGGAGTTTCCCGCCGGAGCCGGCGGTGCTCGCCCCCGTTACTGCGGGCGCTAGGATCCGCCCGGCGCCAGCTCTCCCCTAGCGTCTGCCACTTAACGCACAGCCTCCGGTGGGCAGGGAGCCTGGCCTTCCCCTGCTTCAGAGAAGGAAATCGAGGAAAGCACAGTGGCCACCCCAAAGCCCAGGTCTGTTAGCTTCCGGAAGGATGCTCATATTACGTTGAGAGAGGCCGCCCGAATGTGACATCGAGTGCCCAGTCTTCTGCCGGAAAGTGCTGCTGAAGTCAGACCACAGGGGCGCTCCGAGGGGGGCGGGATCGCACGGCGGGCGGGGTAACAGTGCTGTCCAAGGCTGGGAGAAGGAGAGCGAGTCTTCAGGGAATCCCGGAGCAGCGGGATTGAGAACCCCAGGTTTACTGCAGCCTTCTCCTGGGAGTTGTAGAGTCCTAAGCCAGTGGTCTTTTAAAAAGTGTAAATCGATCATATCTATACCCAGATTAGGACTTCTCAATAGGTCCCTGCTTTGTAGGATAAAGTATGAACTCCTCGTGGAAAATCTGTGTATAAGGCGGCCCCTATTTCTCTAACCTCGTCTACTGCTCTCCTACTCAAATCTTGTTTCAGCTGTGCAGAATTACAGGGCCCCAACACACCATGAGTCCATGGCTTCCTGTGTTTGCACCAGCCTACTGTTCTTTTTGTGGGCACTGCCACTTCTGTCCTTATTTCAGTGGACCCAGTGTTAGGACCTGTTATGTATGGCACAGTGGGGCGATATATGTATAGGGATTCTTCTACCAAGTTAAGCTCCTTGAGGGCTGAAAGCATGTTTCTTGCATCTCTTTATCTCCAATACTTAGAGTAGTGGCTGCTATGTAATAGTTGCACAATAAGGTTTTTAAAATTTTTTTTTATTGGAACAAGTATGGGGCTTGCCTGTTGTCCCAGCTACTCCGGACCTGAGGCAGGAAGATCCAGGAGTTCGAGGCAGTACTGCACTGTGATAACACCTGTGAATAGCCACTGCATTCCAGCCTAGGCAACATAGCAAGACCTCACTTATAAAGCATAAAATAACATTTAATTGATTGAAACTAAAGATCACAGACACATTATTACATTAGGGTCTTATTTCAACAGAAGACATCCGTGTGTGCTAGTGAAACTATATGCTATTCCCATTCATATGTTAAAACTTTTCAGTGTAATTTTTTATATACAATATGATACACTTCCTAGATGGACAAATGCCTTGTGGCAATTCTAGAGATCTGTTCCTTATGTTGTTTATTTAGAATTCTTCTCTCTTAGAAATATGCTTATACAATATGAAAAAAATTGCAAAAGTATAATTGAAAATCCATAAAATCAACAGGAAATCACAATGATTTCAACTGTGTGTGGAGAAAGGATGTCAGCTGACAAAGACAACCATATCATTTAGTATTTACACACCAGCTAATTGATGCAGCATTCACTTTTTAAAATATTAACTTCTATTACTTTAAAGATACTCTTGCCTACCCAGGCTTGTTAAGTCAGAGAGTACTGCAGACAGTGACCCCATTACCACAGAGCCTCTGTTTATCACACAAAGTCTTAGCTTTGTTGATACACCAGTAAAGTTTTAAAAGAATGTAAGTGGTGAGTACATGCCACAGACATGACCTAAATGGCTAACCTCTTACCTTGGTGGTGTACTGCCAGAAAGAGTTAGAACTCTAAGCCTTGTTGTGGAGGATATTTATGTTTAAGTTACTAACATATTGAGCCTTTTTTTATGTACTAGACATTGTGCTGAGTACTTTACGTGTATTACTTAAGCCTCACAGTCCCATGAGGTAAGTTCCATCTTACTGATGAGGATGCTGAGGTACAGAGAGACTAGTTTACACATGTAGTGACTAGGTTACAAAGGTAGTAAATAAGTTGTAGAGCCAGGGTTTGAACCCAAACAGTCTGGTTCTGAGCCCCATGTTAAATCACAGGCCTGGGGTGGGGGGGGTGGAGGGCTTTTTAAAACAGGAAATTGTAAGAGCATTCTAACTTCTCCACCAGAGTGAAAATACTTTAAGGGCAGGGACTTGGTTTCGTTCATATGTGTGGATTGCCTTGTGCATAGCCAGGACTTAATACATATCAGAATAAGTGAATGAATGATTAACAGATGACAGACATTACATTTCAAGTCCTATCTGCAGTACAGGACTTTTTTTTTTTTTTTTTTGCATTGGAAGTAGTGTTCTGGAGAATTCACTCAATTTGGGAAGGCAAGGAGGAGAAATGGTGACCAGTTCTTATGGGACTCCAGAAGTCAAGCCGTTTTTAATCCTAAAAATGCAGTTTGGACTAATCTGATTAATTAATTTGGTCCAACTCCTTGCCAGGCTGAGCCTGTATTGGCCAATAAAACAGATATGGACCCTGCCTGCCCTCAAAGAACTTACAGCCAGCAGGAGATAGTTGATAACCATTCAGTATTTGTTTGATCATAATCACGGTGAAGGAGAGGTATAGGAGCATATAACCTAAGAGAGCATGTAACAGACTGGGGGAGTCAGAGGTAAAGAAGACACTCTAAAAGACATAACACCCCATCCAGGGGATGAGTAGACTTAGGTGCAGGAAGTGGGACCGATAAGAACATGTGCAAAGGTCCCAAGGCAGGAAGGACTGAGGCATTCCCAATGATCTAAAGCTAGCCAGTGTAGCTGGAGGGTCATAGTCAACAGAGGCAGGACATGAGATGAGGTTGTGCCTTTCTTGTAGGGGTCACATCCTTCAGGAACTTGTAGACCACCTTTATCTGAAGAACAACGGGATGCCTAAATTAAAAGATCTTAACAAAAGATTGATGTTATTGGATTTACAGGTGGTATGTGTGTTTTAAGTTCCTTCTGGAGGAAATGGGTGAACAAGTTAGAAGGGGCAAACAAGAATGGAAGCAAGGGAGACTGGTTCGGAGCCTGATGGAATAGACCAGAGAGAAGTTGAGGTTGATGAGTACTGGGGTGATGATGGTGGAGGTGTAGAGAAGGGGCCAATGTAAGAGAGATTTAGATTTAGGAGGTAAAACCAAAAGAGTTGGTAAGTATTAACTTGGTGGGGAGGAAGGAGAGCAAGGAATCAAGGATGACTTGGGGCTTTGACTTAAACTCACAGGAATAATGAGTTTGGCAGGGAAGAAGGTGAGTTTAGTTTTGAATACATTGAGTTTCAGGTACTTTAGAAATATCCTTATGGTGAAAGAAAGGAGAGAAAAGATACATTATATACTTCTGAAATAATTTTTAGAAGTCAGAGTGACAAAGTAGTTGTGTTTTGTCTTACTTTGCTTTTTTGCATATATAAACATGTTTAAAATTGTGGTTAAATATACATAATATAAAATCACCATCTTAACCAGTTTTGAGTATATAATTTAGTAGTGTTAAGTATATTCACATTGTTGTGCAGCCAATCCCCAGAACTTTTTTATCTTGCAAAACTGAAATTCTATACCTTTAAACAATAACTCCTCATTTCCCCTTTCCTCCAGTCCATGTCAACCACCATTTTATTTTCTCTCTCTGAATTTGACAACACTAGGTACCTAATATAAGTAGAATCATACAGTATTTATCTTTTTTATGATTGGGTTATTTCACTTGGTATAATGTCTTCAAGGTTCATCCATGTTATAGCATGTGTCAGAATTTCCTTCCTTTTTAAAACCGAATAATATTTCATTATATACCATATTTTGCCCATCCATTGATGGACACGTCGGTTGCTGTTAGCCCTTGGCTATTGTGAATAATGCTTCTTTGAAAACGGGTGTGCAAATATTTCTTCAGCATTTTCTGTATTCTGAACACGGGTGTGCAAATATTCAGCATTTTCTGTATTCTGCTTGTAATTCTTTTGAGTATATACCCAGAAGTAGAATTGCTGGATCATATGGCAATTGTAGCTTAATTTTTTTAGGAACTGCCACGCTGTTTTCCATAGCAGCTGCTGCACCATTTTACACTCCTAGCAGCATCACCCAAGAGTTCTTTAGTAGTATTTGTTTTTGAGACAGGCTAGAGGCAAGGAACTTCTGGAGTGATGATGGTCTCTCTTCAGGACCTAGGGATTTTGGAATTACTGGATTGATTATTCCCCAAGGCAAGCCCTGACAGATCTTTTCACACCCTAATGGACCACATTTCTTCAGCAGTTCAGGTGCATTGCCACAGGAATTTCCTCACTGCTTCCTGCAGGAGGCTTGAATTGAGGCTGCTGGTTTAGTGATTTCTTGGCAATCGAATCTAGGGTCCATTTACTGCAGTGAGATTTCCACTTCTGGACCTAGGAGTGGAGAAAGATGTAGGAGGCCCCCGCTGAAGGTGAAGCCTGTCCTCACAGAGTCTTCACCCTGAGACCTTTCTGAGACGCTGTCCTTCACTCTGCCTGTCCATACCGCATGCTACCCTCGGTGCGTAGCTAGAGTCACCTCACAGTCTTCAAGAAGCCTACTTTACCATAAAGGCATCAGGAGGTGGTCCATGCATTGTTGCTCTTCACTCCTTGACCCTTACTCCTGTACCCCCTGAAGAGACTCTGTTATGTCATCTTTCCACCCCGTCTGTGTCACTGTCAGTGTCCTGGGCCACATTGCTCATGGGTTATTTGATTGGAGGTTTTGGCTCACGGCCTCGTAGGCATCCCAGCTCTTGTCACCTTCCAGAGTGGCTTAAGTGACCACCTGGCTTCACAATCCTGTGACCTCTACTCAAGTGATTTTAGCCCCCTCAGCCACCCCTTCCTTGTATCCCACCCTACCCCCTATGCTCATCCAGAGCTGCATTACTTCTGAAATGTCAAATTCAGACAGCACCCTCTGACCACAAGCCCCTGTCCGTGTTGATACCTCCTGGTAATCCTGTCCTTTAGCCTCACTGGGATCGCCATCTGTGGAGCCCTC